GGCTTAGGCCCGTCACGGGCCGGTTCCACCCATTGAGCCCACGAAGATCGGGACCGCCAGAGCCCGGGACCACGAAGCCCGGGACCACGAGGCCCGGCCTGTTAGGCCCACTAAGGCCCGGGCCCGGGCCAAAATACAGCATTATATATATGGTACAGTAATACCAAAAAAATTCGATTCACTATGCCAGCTCTATTTAACACAATATTCAAAAACTCTTTTTCCCTAAAACCTCTGGCTCTTGCCTTTAAAGGGTTTCACATTTGCTGCGAGGTTTTTGTGTAATTGTGTCGTCGTACTCTCAACATGTCTTTGGAAGAAGAAGAAAATGCAGCCGAACTCAAAATTGGCGACGGTAATTCTTATTAAATTTCCTTTTCTGTTCAACCTTTTGACTTTCTTTACTTTTTCCCAAACCCTCGAATTTTATTTGTTACTTTGTAATCCTTGGGCCAGTAGATTCCTAAATAACTGAATTTGATGAGAAAATTAGACTGATTTTGTCTTTAAATTGTTTAATTTTAGTGCAAGGAAGTGGAAAAAAATGTTATGCTTTTGCTATCTAATGGAGTTTGATGGAGTTTGCAGAAGTGTTGATTTGGAGAAGTGACATGAAGATAGTTGCCAAACCATGGAACTATTTTGTTAATGCAATCCAAATTTTAGGAAAATAAAAAGAATTCCCCTCTCCCCTTTTAGGTTTTACTTGGTCGCGCGGAGCTAGAGTATCCGCTACGGGTTCGGAGGAACCTAGTAGCTTTTGTGTAGACCCTGTATTCGTATGAGGAAGTCCATTAAATATCGGTAAATATTTAATTGCGAACCCAGTAACTAAGACGAGCTATGGGTTCAATCGCAAGTTTAGAACCCCCAAACTTCAAACCTAGGCTTCGCCTCTAGTTGCAAAAGGGTATGTGTGTGTGAGCACACAAACTCCATGTGTACACACACACACACTGTTCAAAATATATAGATACACACAGATATTTTTTGTGCGTGTGTGCCGTGTGTAAGGTCTTGTTCACTGCCAAAATTGAAGGGAAGTAAATGATTTATGGGTATTCTTTATTTTACAAAACAAAAATTGAAAATTACTAGTCACTCCCCAGTTTGTTGTCTCTGGTATTTGGGTTAGCTGGTGTTTATTTGAAGTGATAGGTTCTTTCCTTCTTGTCCTGTTGATGCTTATATGCTATAAGTAGGTGGAGCTTAATGTTTTATGGTTACTTTGGTTTCAGAGTTTTTGAAGGCCAAGTGTCTAATGAACTCCGAAGTTTCTTTGATTCTTGAACACAAGTATGAGCAGATTCAGCAGATGTCTGATGATCCGAGCAATCAAGTTTCACAGTAAGAATCTGAACTCAACATATCATTTCCCTTTTCTCGTGGATCTTTGAGCTTGCCCACTGAATAATACTTTGTTTTGGATCTTTTGCTCTATTCTATAAGTTCCATCATCTTTTTAGTTTTGATTTTTTTTTTAGAAATTGCAGCTGTTAAAGAACTTTTAAATGGTAAAACATTGTTCAGTTGACGTTTTTCTCATGTTACATAGTTAAAAGAGTTGTTCGTTTAATCTGGGCTGGCTGTCCTAATAGTCTGAATTTGAGGAAATGGTGGAATAAGTTGGCAACTATGAGAAATAGGTAAAACATCGCAGACAAACAAAAAAGGGAAGATCTACTAGCATTTGTTTTTTTCTCACTTCTTTTTTTCAAGAGAGCCCCTTTTACAGCTTGCCCAAGTTTTTCTTATGTAAATATATACATTTTTAGGATAAATATATGTATGAACACAGATTTACAAAAAAGGAAGTATTTTTTCTCCTATTTTAGAAAACCTATTTCATGCTGATTGCTGTGGTGTGCTATGTTCATTTTTCTTCTCTTTGAAAGTCAGCTATATCCTTTTTTTGACCTTCAAATGTTTTGGTTGTGTTTGTAATGGGTGCTTGGTTTTGAAGTGTACTCGCTAAAATTATTTGTCTTTCAGAGTGTTTGAGAAGTCACTGCAGTATGTGAAGCGTTTCAGCCGGTACAAGAATCCTGATGCCGTTAGACAAGTTCGAGAGTATCCTCCAAATAATATACAAAGAAATTATATGTGTTTCCTTTTACATATGCTGCAGACACTACGTGTATATAGCACACTTTCTGGTGTCAAATGATATGAGTGTTTTAGTATATGAAAAGTTTGGGAAAATAATTAGTGACTAAGAAGTATATGCATCATACTCTCTCTCTAATTATACCAGGAGATGTAGATTAACATATTTTCAGTGGGTGCATATGAAGAATATATAACAAAAAGTGACGTTCTTGAATTTATCAAAAGTAAGAGAGAGTAAAGGAAAGAAGAATTAAGGCAAGGAAGCACATAAAACTTGAATATACTTGGACTGGTCAAGCCAAGGAGACCATTTCTATAGATCCTCGACCCTAAGAAATCAGATTTTTCTATCAAATCCTTTCATGCGGAGCTTTTTATGGTTTGACATTTTGAAATGCCAGGGTATCATTCCCTGGTAAAAGGATATCATTGGGATTTTCAAATACCACCACTGTTATTAAAGCGATGTGAAGCGAGGGGTTATCGCTTCATAGATAACAAAAAATGGCTGGTTCTTTAGATCTCAACTTTGAGGAATTGGATTCATAGTGTCATTATTGTTTATTGAATGCTGAGATTAATTATCTTAATTACAATTTGATTATTATAGTACAAAAAAATTAATATATTTTTTGGTATTTTTAAATTTTGTGCTTCACTGCTCGCTTTTCGTTTCAAGGTTTCATGAACCCTGTCGCTCTTTTGTGCTTTTCGTTTTAAAAACAATGGACACAACTTTCTTATAAAATGTGGATCTTAACTTGCTTTTAGAATCCTTAGCAGATATCAACTTGCTGAATTCGAGGTTAGCATTTGTCTACATTTTATTTATACATCTTTCGTTCTTTATTATTATACCTTTATGGGAGCTGCAATTATTAAATGTTGTACATTGGCAGCTGTGTGTCCTGGGGAATCTTTGTCCAGAAACTGTTGAGGAAGCTATTGCCATGGTCCCATCTATAAAGGTACCTAATTTGCCCTCAATATTGTTGGTATTCATGGTCAATTGCAGAAACAAGACATATGGATTTCCTTCAGTCAACTGTGTATTCTTGCTGGTCTTCTCTCCTTAAATTGTTTACACATTAAACCCTATGTTTTCTTATCTTTGTGCTTTACATTTGATCCATTGGCGAGGAGAGTATTGTGTATAAAATTTACTCGAGTTTCTAACTTCACTGAGTCCCTTGAGAAATGCTTTGAATTTTCGTCAAGTTGTCAGATTACAACTTTATAAATTGACTCTGTGATATAACGAACGACTCAAAACAAGAGTACATATCGACTTTGGTTAAAACTTATCAACCAAATGAACCAAGTATTCTCTAATTTTTTGAGCATTTCTTTTGAGATGTTAAAGTTGACTCTACTTCAAGTTTCAATTCTTATTACATGGTAGTGAAGGTACCTTGCAAAGTTTAAGTGTACATCTGAAAAGACGGGTCAAGTACAGGGGGATATTATGTATTATCCATGAATCTTCATAAAATCTCTTCCCCCACCCCAAGCCCCCCAAAAAGGGAATATTATCCACCATGGGTCTGGTGGAAGTGAAATGTTGCTGCATTGGATCAGATCCGTTATTGGAGTACATTATTGGTCTCTGTTAAATATCCTCTAGAGTCTGCAGTACCTGCCATGCAGATGTCTCGTTTTAAATAGTTCATATGTAACTTCCTGGAGTTCAGTCCAGTACAGTACAGTTCTTTTCCTTTGATTGTGTGTTTATAAGCTGGTATCGTTTGTTCAATACTTGTATTATCTCAGTAGACTTGGGCTGATGAACTTCCTTCATTGGTTGCAGAATAGAGGTCGCATGCTTGATGAGGAGGCAATCGAGAAAATGCTGAATGATCTCTCCCTGATAAAGAAGTTTGAGTAGTGTCATTTAGATTTATATCTGCGTTTGATGTCTGTAAATATTTCTGCGACTTGTACAAGTACTGCTGCCAAGTTTTCAGGACTCAATGTTGTTGGTGGCAGAATATAACTACTGAAGAAGAGAAGAGTATGTGGACCTGCTTCTTTCTCAACCAAATTTCTACATTGGTAAAAAAATTGCTGGAGTATATCTTGCGTTATGAAATTAGTAAGTCATAGCTTTGTTAATTCTATATTTTTGTATGCATGTTTGGATTTCAACCGTGACTGAACAACGCTGTGTAATGCTTTTTTGTAATGTTGCGGTCTTTGTTTGTCCTTAATATTGGTGAAAAATAGCTAAACGTTTTTATGCATAATGAAAGTAAAAGCTTGACGTCATTAAAGTGAAGTTTATTGACAAAATCTCTAAACATTTCAAAGACTGATGAGGAAAGATGGGTATTTGAAGTGACATTCAAAATGGCAAGTTTTCACGTTGATTACTACCTACGGAAAAAAGGAAAGGAAAGAAAGAACAAACACTTACTAAGGTAAAATTTCCACCAACTATATGTAGCCTTGCACAAATGTCAATTACATGGATAACCATATTGCCTACCCAGTTGCAATGTTATCAGATGACCAACACTCATTTGAGGAAATATGCTAAACCTGTCAATTGACCAACCAGTGAATAAGAGAAATGGAGGGTGCCACTCCCATATGCCATCAGTAACAACACGAAGGAACAAAATGAGCAAACATGAATTGAACTCACAAAAGCATGCCCAAAAAAAAAAAACCTCCCTCGCTCTAGTTTAACTATAGATGATGTATTATGAACTCGCCAACAACTGAAAAACATCTAAAATGTAATCGGGAATCACACAGCAAAAAACCATTCAAGCAAGGCACCAAGATGATAATATGATTTTCAAACTAACAAGCTAAACGTCGATTCCCATGCAGTATGAATGTGCAAAAGCTAGGGCAGCCCAGAGCACTAAGCTCCCGCTATGTGCGGGGTCCGGAGAAGGGTCGGACCACAAGGGTCTATTGTACGCAGCCTTACCCTGCATTTCTGCAAGAGGCTGTTTCCACAGCTCAAACTCATGACCTCCTGGTCACATGGCAACAATGTGCAAAAGCTACTCGATGTTAAAATAGACTCAACAAAATGTCTAACTGATTCTGCCAACAGAAAAAAAAAATGTTACATAGTAGCTAACCTAACATGAAAGAGAGAAGACATTTGTAAATAATTTTCAAATTTAGACCAATTTACATATATATATAATCATATACACCCGTCTGATCCAAATAAAGATGTCCATCCCTCTTATTCTTTTGCAGCAAACTACAGTTTCTGATGATCTTTTCCATAGAGGCAATGCGATGCAAACTATCACAGCAGTGCTGATGTTGACAAGGGTTATCCATCTGCAAGCACAAAATCTTTAGTAAAGATCAAACTGATATACAGGTTAACAAACAATTGCTCAATGAATTTCTTATTATAATTAAGAACGACATGGACAGATAAAAGATATTTAGGAAGAGCTCTGGCAACACTTGCCAACTGATATATGGGAATTCTGGTGTATTTCTTTGGAGGATGTCTATAACAAACCAAGGCCCAAAAGCTTCATGTTTATACCTTCTAGACCTTACGAACTAGGTTTTTCGGCACAAGTACCTAATATCCTAAGGTGGAAGAGTGCTGCTGTTCTCAATGACTATTAGTTTATGGCAGCATATCCTTTCATGAGAAGCCTTGTAGAGATTCTACGTAATCATCAAATAACCGAGTTTTGAAACTCTGACCTGGAAATTACCTAAAATCATTGTTTTCGCCTTTCTATCAACTTATGATAGAACTAGCAGGCTATCAAAAGCAAGCTAAAATCACTTAGTCAATCCTGACAAAGTGCCAACAAACAGCCATCTGCTCTGTATTAATATAGTACAATTTATTCCGACTTTAAAAGCAGCCTATTTTTCGAAACACATCTTTCAAAAGCTAACTGGCGAATCAATGAATAGTCGACCTATCAAAAAATGTTGTACCAGTAGACAAGATACATACACATAGATAGTAACAACAACATACTCAATATTATCCCACACCGTGGGGTCTGGGGAGTATAGTGTGTACGTAGACCTTACCCCTACCTTGTGAGGATAGAGAGGTTGTTTCCAATAGACCCTCGGCTCAGGAAAGCAGAAGTAACAAAATAATGAAAATATAGACAAGAAGCGACAGTACCAAAAAACCATATAAAAGCAGAATAAAAACAACAAGACAGTAAGGTAATCAACAATTAAGGAAAACAACGGTTAGTCATAAAAACCTACTACCAACAGAAAGCGAGACTGTGCGTCAATACTACTGTTATGAACACTCTAGACTACCTACTCTACTACCATAATCCTCGACCTCCATACCTTCCTATCAAGGGTCATGTCCTTGGTCAGCTGAAGCTGCGCCATGCGTTGCCTAATTACCTCTCGCCACCTCTTCTTAGGCTTACCTCTACCTCTTCGTAGGCCCTCCAATGTCAACCTCTCACACCTCCTCACCAGGACGTCTGTGCTCCTCCTCCCAAATGACCAAACCACCTAGGCCGCGCTTCCCGCATATTGCCCTCAATAGGGGCCACACCCACCTTGTTGCGAATAACCTCATTTCTAATCTTATCTAACCTGGTGTGCCCACACATCTCAACATCCTCATCTCTGCTACCTTCATCTTCTGAACATGAGCGATCTTGACTAGCCAATACTCAGCACCATACAATATCGTTGGTCTGATCACCACTCTGTAGGACTTATCCTTAAGTTTCGATGGCACCTTCTTATCACATAAAACACCGGAAGCGAGTCTTCATTTTATCCATCACGCCCCAATACGATGTGTGGCATCTTCATCAATCTCCTCATCCCCTGAATAATAGACCCAAGGTACTTAAAACTCCCTCTCCTAGGGAAGACCTGCGAGTCCAGCCTCACCTCCCCTTTCCCTCCTTGAGTCTCGCCACCAAACTTACACTCCAAGTATTCTATTTTGGTCCTGCTCAACTTGAAACCTTTAGATTCCAGGGTCTGCCTCCATACCTCTAACTGCGCGTTCACACCGTCTCGCGTCTCGTCGATCAAAACAATATCATCTGCAAATAGCATACACCACGGCACCTCCCCTTGGATGTGGCGCGTCAGTACATCCATCACCAGAGCAAACAAGAAAAGGGTTGAGTGCCGACCCCTGATGCAACCCCCATCATAACCGGAAAATAGTCTGAGACCCCATCCACCGTCCTCACTCGGGTCTTTACTCCATCATACATGTCCTTAATCAACCTAACGTAAGCAACAAGTACACCTCTAGCCTCCAAACATCGCCACAAAACCTCCCTCAGAACTTTATCGTACACCTTTTCTAAGTCGATGAACACCATATGCAAGTCCTTCTTTCTCTCCCTATATTGCTCCATCAATCTCTTAACAAGGTGGATGGCTTCTGTAGTCGAACGCCCCGGCATAAACCCAAACTGGTTCTCGAAATAGACACACTCTTTCTCACCTTTAGCTCTACCACTCTCTTCCAGACTTTCATAGTATGGCTGAGCAGCTTGATACCCCGATAGTTAATGCAATTTTGGATATCACCCTTGTTCTTGTATACAGGAACCATCGTGCTCCACCTCCACTCGCATCTTCTTCGTTCTAAAAATGACATTAAATAACCTAGTGAGCCACTCCAAGCCTGCCTTGCCCGCACTCTTCCAAAACTCCACTAGGATTTCATCCGGCCGGGTCAATTTGCCTCTGCTCATCTTACACATAACCCCCTCAACTTCATCAACTCTAATCTGCCTACAATACCCAAAGTCACAGCGACTCCCGGAGTGTTCCAAATAACCCAGTACAATGCTCATGTCCCCTCCTCGTTCAAGAGACTATGGAAGTAGGTCTGCCATCTCCGACGGATAAGCCCTCATCCAACAAAACTCTACCTTTTTCGGCCTTGATGCACTTCACTTAGTCCAAGTCACGCGCCTTCCTTCTCGCGCCTTGGCTAACCTGAACAACCTCTTATCCCCACCTCGGCCCTCGAGTTCCTCGAACAAACGACTAAAAGCTGCAGTCTTGGCCGCCGTAACTGCTAGCTTTGCCTCTTTCTTAGCCAACTTATAATGCTCCCTATTCGCGCTCCCTATTCGCCCTCTTCTCCTCCTCGTCTACACTTTCCACTAGCTTCAGATACACTGCTTTCTTGGTTTTCACTTTTCCTTGCACCTCTCCATTCCACCACCAGTCTCCCTTGTGACCACCAGAGTAACCCTTTGAGACCCCTAATACCTCTCTCGCGGCTTCCCTAATGCACTGCGCAGTCGTGGTCCCCATAACACTTGTGTCCCCACTACTCCTCCAAGCCCCCACTAACGCAGATAGTATGTGTGTTAAATATGTATCATAAGGACCCCATACATAACTTGTTAAATGTATATAAACATATATTCAAGATTGTATCAGTGGACAATTAGCAAAGCATAACACAACATGAGGACAAACAGAGTTATATCAGAAGCTCTAACATATCATTCGTGCACAATCCAAAGTCTAATCACTACAAGTAGAGTCTCTCTCACTTTCTCCTTTCTAAACCCAAAGTAAAGGATTATATAAGAAACAACATGGTCAATTCAATTCTATACTGTTGCATATTGCTATGTCACAAGAAAAACAGAAACCTAAAAAATTTTCCCTGATAAATAACAAAACAAAAACCTCGTGCAACTAGCATTGTGCTACCAGATCTTTGGAAAAGGTTTGACATTTATAACAGATCACTAAACTCTAACATTCTTTACTAATTAAACCATTAAATGCTGTGTCCAAGGAGGAACAAATTATCGATATAGTTTAAGCTTATGAATGATAACAGACATACTACAGCAGAAAATTAGGACCTAAGTTTCTCTCATCAATATTTATCTTGTTCTGGAATTTCTATGTTGTACGCAACTAGGCTATATTAAGAATCTTTGACTATAAATAGCAATATATCCCGATTTAATTTAGTCAAGGTGCTTAATACCTCTGCCACTCATAACACATTTCAAAGACGATTTCTTCTGTGAAGCTATATAATCAAAATGTAAATCATCTAGTGTTTACATAGAAATTAAAAAAACTGGTAGTGACAAATCAATATCAGCCACTAGAGACAACTTGCAGAGTTGAATGATTACCTAGAAACAACTTGCAGGAAATGGATCTATAATATACATAAAGCATACAAAATATCTTTTTTTTTTAATAAGTAAAGAATACAAAATAT